TTCCCAGTGACAGCAGTGTGATTACACTTCAGGGAAGAGCTTTTCTTGCCAACAAAATGAGGGCAACTCCAGTGCAGGTAATAAATTTAGCAGGGTGAGCTGTCATTTCTTCTCTTGAGTGGAATCCTTAATGACCAAATGATGTCTTATGGAAGATTTTGAGAGGAGGAAAGCATTTCACTTAAATAATTTTAAAAATTCACTTTTTAATATTTTATTTTTAAAATTATTATGTATATGTACTTAACATTTTTTTCATAATAATTTTCTATATTTGATTTACATGTATCAAGTCTTAATTTTCATCACAACTCTGATTAAAAAAATAATAGAATTTAGGAAAAGAATGCATGACTGTTTGAAAATCTATCTGAGATAAAAACATCGTGCAGAAATAAATGATGTTAGGTGAGAAGTGGAAGAAGGTTAGGCTAGTGGTCTGGTCAGTTAAAACTTTAAGTTTCCATGGCTGAAAGAATGTATTCCTCTTCATCTCAGTTGTATTTTTAAATAGTCCTTGCTTCGTTGAGCAATGAGATAGAGCAGTAGAGTGTAAACCTGAAGTGGAAAAGCAGGCCTGGGAGCAGCAGGGAGTCAGCTGGGGAGAAGGAGGAATTGGAAAAATAATAGATGAATATGGAAGCATGCCACTTCTCATTCCTTCTAAATAAAAGCAGAAAGTTAACATCTTCTCCCAGAGAAGATAGAACTGAAGGTATTTTTCTTTTCCAAATATTTTCTTCCAAGCACATTTATGGGACTCCTGTTTACCTGAATAATATTTGCTATGAATCAAGAATAAAGTGGCTACTCTTGATCCATACTTTTTATTTTTTTCATTACATTCTTAGCCGGAATCCTTTTTTTGAGTCAGCAGGAAAAAATCAATAGCTAGTCAATTTCAAGAACACAGTTGTTGCATCAGTCTGTGACTCTGCTGTTCTTAACTACTGTATAGTGAAACTATTACAAACCTTTAAAACTGGTCTTTTTCCATAGTCGCAGAGGCCATCAAAGCTCAATTGGCATAACATAGTACACAAAACGTTGTTCCACATCCTACTTTAGCAAGCCAGCCACTCCTCGGAAGGAAGGTTGGGCAATCCTACTTCCGTAGTGATACTGCCTCGGAAACCCAAGGAGGGGTCGCTATGAGTCGGGGCCG